AATATTGGTCGGAGCGTTTCGGACCCTTATAGTTTTCGATAGAACTCTTCGGGGGGCCACCAGAACTCCAGCAAGAACTGCCGATTTCCGAAAAAAAAAATTGCCTTTCGGGACTTAGAATATTTTCGAGTTGCGGTACTTTGAGGGGCTGTAAATTTTAAAATATTGGTCGGAGCGTTTCGGACCCTATAAGTATAAGTTTTCGATAAAACTCCTCGGGGGGCCACCAGAACTCCCGCGAGAACTCCGGTAAAATAATTTTTTATTTTAAACGCGGTACTTTGAAAGGCTGTAACTTTTGATATATTGGTCGGAGCGCTTCGGACCCTAATAGTTTTCGATAGAACTCTTCGGGGGGCCACCAGAACTCCAGCGAGAACTGTCGATTTCTGAAAAAAAAAATTACCCCTCGGAACTTAGAATATTTTCGAGTTGCGGTACTTTAAAAGGCTGTAAATTTTAAAATATTGGTCGGAGCGTTTCGGACCCTTATAGTTTTCGATAGAACTCCTCGGGGGGCCACCAGAACTCCCGCGAGAACTCCGGTAAAATAATTTTTTATTTTAAGCGCGGTACTTTGAAGGGCTGTAACTTCTGATATATTGGTCGGAGCGCTTCGGACCCTAATAGTTTTCGATAGAACTTTTCGGGGGGCCACCAGAACTCCAGCGAAAACTGACGATTTCTGAAAAAAAAATTACCTCTTGGGACTTAGAATATTTTCGAGGTGCGGTACTTTGAGGGCCTGTAACTTTTGAAATATTAGTCGGAGCGTTATAAAACCTATAGGGAACTTTAGTACTCGTCGAAATCTTTCTGAATCTACCATAAAAAATTGATTTTTCAAAAAAGTGGAAATTTTTTGTTTAACTTTGACATTGATTTTTGGGCTTATTTGAACGGAACTCTTTTTAAAACCTATAGGGAACTCTACAACTGATCGAAATCTATCCGGAACTACCATAAAAAATTTATTTTTTCAAAAATGGGGGGCGCCGTGAAGTTAGCTCCCCCATTTTTAAAATAGTGTTTTCACCACTTTAAATGACGGAACTCTCTTTAAAAACTACAGAGAACTCTAGAACTTTTTCTGAGGAATCCAGAACTCTAATAAAAATTTCCGAATTTTGAAAAAGGGGGGCCAACTTCACAGACATATCTTTTCGAGAAACAGAGTCCGCGCTGGTAATGTTTTATAAAATTTTTATTTATTTTATTAATGGAGAAAATAAGTTTTTATTTTTTTGTTAATGTTTAGTAAAAAATAAATCGAGATAAAAATGGTTTTTAGATTTAAAAAATCAATTTAAATGTTTGGACTTTTTGGTTTGCAACGTTAAAATTCGAGAGCTTTTTTTGTCAGAATGAAGAATATTTCTCTGTAGGAGATTTGTTTCTATATAATCTACGTGAAATATTGATGTACGAAGTTACCTTGTTCGGAACTAATCTGTCTTCGTAAACGGGGTGGCAAACGCATAAAGTAGTTTTATTCAATTGTATTATTATTATACCCAATATCTGGATTATTAAAACAATAATTGACTAAATTATTAACGTTAAATAGATCAGTTGTCACCTTGTCACTTGTGTACAAGACGACTAGTCGCAATTATTTCGGCAATAATGCATCCGACGAAGTATTTTTCATGATTGCGATCATACTGAGCGTCATACCAGGAACTTCAGATGACAGTCGACCGGAAAAAATAACTCAGGTGACTACATTCAACGACAGTAAAAACAGCATTATTGTTACAACGACAGTGTTATTGTTAATATGTAAATTAATAATTTTATTCTCCTGTTTGATATACTACAGGTATTTTACGGAACATTTGACGTTTTCTTAAATCGAGATCGAAAAAGAATCAGACGACGAAAAGCATCTTAAGACATCACTTCCTCTATGAGGAAGCCAAGTGCAAGTTTCTAATTTGCACAATTTTTTTATATATGACCACTAGGGCGCCAGTGCGCGCGCGCCCCGATAAATCACGCGGCTGTTATATTAATTACGTATCGAATTGAAAGCGTGTTTTCCAATGTTACCTAGGAGAAAGTTCAGATTTGTATGCAACGATCGCCGTAATATTTACGTTCGCGTAAAAGAGTCACGGTGCGGTCTCGCTCCGCGCGTATAGTTGGCGCGAGACACTACCGTGTCTCTTGATCAAGGATGTACAGTTACACGTAGAACGAACGCGTGTAACGTGTAACTGACAGATTTGCGTATACGTACAATATGATGTTATAAATTTGCCAAGTTACAAGTGCCATATACCGTTTCAATTAAAAAATGAATTATGACTAATGGGATCTTTTGGCCTGGTATCGTTTAAATTAGAGACACTGCGCGAAGCCAGCGTGCTTGTACACGCGCGCGCGCGTGTGTGTGTGTGTGCTTACATAGGTGCTACATATTCTCATAAAAACCGGCTCCGGGACGCTTAAGATGCGATTTCATGGGCGTCAGTTGTCGCGCGTCAAGACGATTTTGTGACGTCATGTTGTTTCTGCGTCGACGCTGAGAAGTTCAGATTTCCCAACTTCTATAGCGTCAACTGGCATCTCGACGCGAGTTCCAAAAATTGACGCATGAAAACCTTTTTCATTGCGCGTCAGAATATCGGCGTCATTATACTAATCTAACTTACCCGAACTTGATTTCGAGCGTCAACTGACGCCCATGAAAAAGCACCTTTAACGTGCGACGGGCCGAAGACATTTGTTAGTCGACGTTGAGATTTACGAGTTACAACTTACTTTCGAGAACCCCCGGTCAGGACGCGCACCGCAGGTAGCGAGAGAAGTCAGGTGACGCAGGATGGAGAAGGACGGATCCCCTTCACGTCTCCGAAGAGTCCGAAGCCATCCTCGTCGGTCATACGTATCTCTAACGACTCAATATTTTTTATTTTCCCATTTAAGTCAGAATAATATGGAATCGTTGAAATCAATCTTTTACTTCTTTTCAAATTCTAGAGCTAGAGGATATATATTTAAGATACATAGATTGGCTACCTGATCATTGCGAAACTATAATGTTATATAGTAATAGTATTATTATGGATGATTGCGAAATAAAGAATCCAAGTTTTTTATTTGACAGTGGATTAGACCTACTAAGGAATATCATTGATGGATCTATACGAATTAACGATAAGTGCAAATATTCACGATGGAGAGTAGTAATACACTTGTTGTGAACTATTTGATGTTTATTCTGACATATGTGTCTAACGTGTTTATGTTATGTTATGTTGTCTAAATCTCTAAACTAGTTTTTCCCAACAATTAACGGCTTCGCTAATTAAATTTTGTGGATTGGCCTGATGAAGTATTTAGCAATCAACCTATTTACCGCACGCCATTGAGTGAATATAAAAAATTGCCTATATTAAATTTGGAGCCGTTCCCACTCTTGTTTATATTATTCCTGACATCTCCAAAGAAGCAAAAAGAAAATATGCTAAATTGACAACAATTTATACTAGAAATCATGCATCAGCTTTTAGAACAGTTGTTTTTGTTGCAAAAGAAAACAAAAAATAATAATTAGTTTAATATTTATATCATAAATAATGCGGGATGTATATAACATTATATGTATAATATATAATGTCAGAAAAAGAGTTTTTATTTCTATGAAAAAAAATATTAAAAAGTTTCTTAGAAATCCCCAACGTATTTGATGAAATACTACAATCAGAATAAAATTTTACCAAATGATTCCTTAACTACTATACTTCAAGGTGAATTATGTAAAGAAACTGTTTCAAAATACGTAAATAAAATAGTAATGCCTTTAATATTATAACGTAATTAAAGCAGCGTTCAAGAGATAATCAATTTATATTCTCAATATTCAAAATTACATAATTTTGATTTTGTAATATTGTTTTTGTACACTTGAAAAAAAATATACTGTAAATATATTTATTACTTTATATTAGAAATATATGTACAAACAGTACATTAAAAGACACTTTAACCTTTAACCCTTAGGACAAACGGCTTAACGTCTCTGTCCGAAAGACGAAGCCCAGTTTGCTCCGCACAAGGGTCTCAATCTTGCACGGAGGGGCGCAGCTTTTGGAAAAAAATTCCACGGCTCTAGTGGACTCGAATCTGGTTCCACAGATTACGAGTCTGGCGCTCAACCACTAGACCACACTGCCGCCCTCGCAGACGTGATCGAATCAAGTCAAGTCGTTGTACTCTTCGAGAGAAGTACTTAGTCCGGTTATATCTTAAGTCGTCAGCGACGAACGAATCCGACGTGCCGTGCCTCGCTTGCCTGTCTGCTTGCCGCTCTAATGTGCCTATTGCACGCCTTGCCTTGCACCACTTTGCATGTCTGCCTGCTCCTCCCGCAACCACGGAGGGCCGCCACGAGGAAGGACGAGATCAACGGAGCGACTTCCCAGGAGGGCGCCGGGGCACCGACACGATATATAGGAACCAACATGGAGTCGCATATCCAAAATCAGCAGCCTGGTCACAACCACCATGTGCATTTCGGCCATCAACCGCCGCCGCCGCCGCCGCCGTCGCTAAGCCCCCACCTTAATCAACTGATGCATCTCCAATTCACCGGCCACTTCGATCACTACCAACATCACCAGCCCCCGCAGCAACAACAGCGAACGCAAATACCGATGGCATGCCCATTCACCGCGGCGAGTAATATAGGAGTACCCGCTACCTACAGGCCTTCACCGCAAGGACATTCCGCTGTTAGTGTCAGTCTCGAATCAGACGGATGCCGGCTACGAATGCCCCAAATGCAAGGCACGATTAAGCACAAAATCTAACCTGCGGCGCTACATGCAGAACAAACACAAAGAGCCTATGAAGACATATAACCATGATCTCTTGGTCATGGCATCGCATCCCGGCCATCAGCCGCCGCCGCCGCCGCCACCGCAGCAGCAGCCCCCACAGCAACATCTTTATGGAAATAGCGCCCAACCAGGGGGCCAAGTGGGCGGAAACACGGCGCGGAGTACACAAGTATCCACGAATAGATAGTTCGGAGACCCACTAATCCAAGAACCATCGCCGTCAGAACAAAGCAGTTGATGCGGTTGACGAAGCGGTCTGTAAATGCGTACATACATATCAATTCTCACGAACATCTTGCATCAAGTGCGCAAAACAGAAAGAACGGGAAGATCATCGGGTTTGCGACAATCCTGTCGACGCGCCACCGCGAGCATTATTTTCTGAAAGCATGCCCATATGTCGTTACGCGTCTCTTCGTCGCATAATTATGCGTGACACGCAAGCGCGCGTGGTATCATACGATTTCCGGTGTGAGCCCGCGACTGCAAGCCGTTGGCTCACTTGTCATTTCCCGTCTTATTATCATTCGTATGCGGTTAAGCATACGCAAATTCTGAGAGAGAGAGAGAGAGAGAGAGAGAGAGAGAGAGAGATCGGGCGTGTATTCTAATGTTTTTAAAAATACTTTTTTATTTATAAGATGGGGAAGGCATCGCGTATTATAACAGCATATCTGAACAACTGGAACAACAGGAAACTGTTACAAAGAATGATCCAATTGGAAGAGAAGATCATAGAACGAGATAACATTATTATAAATTTACAAATACAAAACCAAAATTTAATAGAAGAACTCAAGGAGAAAGACCGAATATGCCATATTCTATATCTTGGTCAGCTGGCTAAGAACTTCAGAAAAATTGTGAGAGAAAACATTTTGAATAAAAAGATAAAAGAAACAAAATAACTAGTAAAAGTTGAGAAAATGATCGAAAACGGCCGGGGAATTTTTACAGACAAAGAGATCAATAATTGAAAAAAATTAAGGAAAAACTTAGAAAAAAGAGAAATCGACCTTGATACCTTGGATGATATCAATATGACTTCAAAATTTGGAAATAGTAAAAAGTAGTAGCACAGATGTCATATAATAATTATTTAAATATGCCTCATTTAATACTGAAACTACAATTTTTAATATGTATATATTTAAAAAAATTGATTCAAATGTTTATAATATCAAAATGGTCTCACATTTAAATGATCATTATAATCAAAAAAAAAAATTAAGAGATAACGATGGAGCCAGAACGAAACCGTTATTCATTTGAGGAATTAACGGACATGATTCTTATTTATAGCGAGTGTCGAAGAAATCAAAGGCAAGCGGCTGCACTTTACGCCCGAAGATTTCCAGAGACAACACCCAGACCGTGAATTCTTTCATCGACTTCATGAGAAATTAAGAAGAAATGGACAGTTTAATAAATCTCGGAGGACGATCCGTGTTCCGCAGAAAAACCAGAAAGCAGTTGATGCTGTTCAACAGGCTCTTGTTGCAAATCCTCATACAAACACAAGAGCAATTGCCGTAGATTTAAATATGAATCATATAACAGGTCATAAAATAATTAAACATTCTTTGGGTCGGCACTCGGCATTCGTTCAAACGGCACACAACACATAAACTTATACCTTGTGATATGCCACGACGATTAAATTTTTGTGAATACGTTCTTGATCATGTAAGTTAGTTTAAATTTACTTTTATTATAACATACTGTAACGATGCACCTCCAAATATGCATCGTTCCGGCAGAAACACCACGCCGAGACCACCCAGCCGACCACCCGCGGGAGTGAAGAACGGGCACGGTGTGCCCAACGTAATTTTAATCGCTAACATGTAATGTTAGGAAGTCCGCGAACGGACTTAACGCGGCAACCGCCTCACCGCGCCGAGCGGTGCCGAAGGCGGCCGACGACCGCCGAACGCGATCGCAGCGTCGGGACGCCGTGATCACCGATCGTGCCGCCGCACCGTCCCGGCGCTCGCGATCGCCGTCGCTACCCCCACCACGCCGCGACGCCGCCGCGACGCGTATATAAGCCCGGCGTCGCTGGCACCATTCGCGATTCCTGATCATCCGTCGTACATAGTCGCTGGCACAGTTCGTCCGCGGTCGTAAGAGGAAGTCTGAGCTACACTACCAGGATTAACACAGGCGACAAAGTTGATGTTAAGCGTTGCTGTCACCGTCGGCTTCTTGGTAGCCGCAGCTTTCGCAGTTGCTGCTGGCTTTGAATACAGAACAATTGGATCCGCACTTGGTATAGGTTTTTCAAGTTTACGTCGCGCCGACTACCGCCGCCGTATATAACCGCGAACAGTGCTGCTGGAGATGCAAGCAGCGGAGGCATACGCGATTCGACTGCCGCCGGCCCGCCCAAAGATTCTGTTCCCAGTGCGGCAAGGATGGGGTCCTCACCAAGGACTGCCGACAAGACAACAACTTCGAAGAAAGATTGTGCGCATTAGTAAAGGCCGGTGTGATCAGATATCTGGTGAATTTCGTCAATCATTACGAGGAGTTCGAGAAATTGGGCGAATTGATAGCGCGCATTTTCAACGCTATATGTAGCGAAGAGAAATTGATAGAAATTGTTGTTTAACAAAACGGGACGGAGGCATTGTTGTCATTAGCGCTGGATGGCACAGTCGAGGGAAAGAAGCAAGCTGCTTCGTTAGCCCTGGTCCATTTGGGACTAACGATACCTCCCGAGGTTGGATTTCCCGGTAATATAATCACGAAAATTGTTCAACCGATCATAAATCTTCTAAACCTGGATCATGCCGAACCTGGCGAGTGCCCTCCTCCTGGGGGTCGACTTCTGGATCAAACTCGGACACGCCATACCGTCGCCCATCCACCCAGCAACCCCGCAACACCCCCCCTTCCCCGGGAACGCCGCCACCAAAGGGATAACACCGCATACCCCAACGGAAAAAGAGCAGTTACGCGAGTTCCTCGGGAAAGAATTGCCACTCTTCGAGGCATTACGCGGGCCCACCGACCGTACCGCTCACGATATCCGGGCGCCGGCCCGATCAAGCAAAGGTACCGATCACGCAATCCGGCCATGCAAGCGGTCATCGACGGCAAAGTAGAAAAAATGAAACAGGAGGGAATAATCGAGCGTTCGCATAGCGCGTGGAGTTCCCCCGTGGTCGTAGCCCGAAAAAAGGATAGAAAATACCAATTCTGTATCGATTTTAGGCGAGTTAACGACGCAACCGAACCCGACGCGTACCCACTGCCGCAGATTACCGCCACCCTAGATAAGCTACGCGGAGCCAAGTATCTGACGACCCTCGATCTTAAAAATGGCTACTGGCAAGTCCCTCTCACGCCGTCCAGCCGGCCAATAACCGCGTTCACCGTACCCGGTAAAGGGCTCTTTCACTTCAAAGTGATGCCGTTCGGCCTGCACTCCGCCCCCGCCACGTTTCAACGACTCCTCGACACAGTACTCGGACCGGAGCTAGAACCTCACATATTCGTATATCTCGACCATGTAATAATAATAAGCGAAACATTCGAAGAGAATCTGCGAATATTACGAAAAGTTTTCCGCCGCCTCCGCGCCGCGAATCTGAGGCTCAACCCGGACAAGTGTAAGTTCTGTGTAGATCGATTACAGTACCTAGGGCACATCGTCAACCGCGAGGAGATCCGCACCGACCCCAAAAAAGTAAAGCCGTGGCCCAATGGCCCCGACCGCAAACCGTGAAACAGATCCGGCAGTTCCTAGGTGTTCCTATTGCCAAAATCGTCATCTCCAATAAACGATGGTAGCGAGGATTCTCAACGAACAATTGTTAGCGAGGATTCTCAACGAATCGACAAATTACAGTTATTGTCGAATCAGCTGCAACAGGAATTAGACTCAAAGTCTGACCTTTTGAGCGAGTACAGGACAAAATTGATTTTTAGGACGAAGCCGATTTTCAAAATGTTGCCTCATGGTACCGACGGTTCATACAAGACTTCGCGACCGTCGCCGCACCACTTACCGCGCTAACTCGCAAACACGCTCGTTGGGCCTGGGGACCCGAAAGAAGAGCACGCGTTTGAAAGTTTGAGAACGACCCTGACGACCGCGCCGGTCCTCGCCTGCCCCGACTTCACACGCCGGTTGGTCCTACAGACCGACGCCAGCGCAACCGGACTGGGGGTCGTATTAACACAAAATTTCCCGGAAGGCGAGCGAGTGATCGCGTACGCGAGCCGCACCCTTAACCAGGCCGAACGGAATTATAGCGCCACCGAGCTCGAATGTCTGGCCGTAATCTGGGGGATCCGCCGCATGCGGGACTACTTGGAGGGGTATCCCTTCACCGTACTGACCGACCACCAGTCTCTCCGCTGGTTGCAGAAACTTGACGCCCCCACCGGACGATTAGGCCGCTCCAGCATTCGAACTCCAGCAATATAACTTAGATATACGCTACCGAAAAAGAGCCCTGAACCGGGTCGCCGACGCACTATCCCGCCAACCAACTACCGCCGCAGTCACCGCCCCGCCCCGCTGCCCCTGGTACCGACGGACCTTCCGCGCCGTTCAAGCCGCCCCGCAGGACTATCCGGACTACGACATTCGAGGGGGGAAACTATTCCGACACGTGCTCCACGAGCTCGACTTCAAAGAAGTCCCCGCCGAGAGCCAGTAAAAAGAATGCGTCGCGAAAGACCTCCGATCCAAAATCCTCCACCACAACCACGACGCGCCAACGGCCGGACACCTCGGGATAGCCAAGACAATCGCCCGCGTCGCGCAGCTTTATTATTGGCCGGGCATGTTCAGAGAAATAGCGCGGTATGTCCGAAATTGCCCAACGTTCCTCAAGCACAAAATAGCGCAGACCCGAACGGCGGGCACCCTCCACGCAACCGCCGTCGCTCGCCCCTGGCAACAGGTAACGCTCGACCTGATAGGCTCCTTACCGCGATCGAAAGGGGGTCACACATGGCTATTAACAATGCAGGATAGATTTTCAAAATGGCTAAAAATGCGTCTCCTTCGTCGCGTCACCGCCGCCGCCGTGACCGCCAACATCGCGGAAGCGATACTGTTTCGGCACGGGTGCCCCGACGTCATCCTGTCGGACAACGGGACGCAACTTCATTCGGCGAAACTCGCACGAATGCTAGCCGCACACCGCGTGCGACACGCATACACGCCCGTGCACGCGCCGCATTGTAATCCGGTGAAGCGAACCAACCGCGTCGTTAAAACAATGATATCACAGTACGACAAAAACCACCGAAACTGAAACAACCGAATCCCCGAATTGCAGTTCGCATACAATACGGCGCGGCACGAGGCAACCGGGTATACTCCCCGCCTACTTAATATACGGCCGAGAACCCGTATCCCCGGCAAACCAGAGCGCAACACCGGCTGACGCCGCCGCACCCCCGCCGGACGAAACACGCCGACATCTCGAAGAGGCCTTCGAGCTCGCACGAATCCACCTCGCACACGCGTTCCAACGCCAGCAAAAATACTACAATCAGCGAAGACGCGCGTGGAAACCGAAAATTGCGGTGATGCAACAACCTGGTCAGCATGGTGGGGGTATTGGTGGCCAGTTGAGTTTTAATCAACCCCAACAACAACCTTATTTGCAAATGCAGTGTGCATGTACTCCGCGGATCGCAGTGAT